GGTTGCCTACTCACATTTATGTACTGAACAAAAGCCTTTTCCAAAAGTCTGTTTCTGCCTTCTGGGACCCCCAGCCCTTTGCTTTCTTAGACCTCTTACTTACCCATGTCACAACACAGCATCAGTTTCAGAGAAAAGGAGAACAACTTAGAGATCCTGATGCTTTGCTAGTGTAACATTCTCCTTTCTGAAAGCTCAATTTAGATCTTCTATTCAGCAGCACACAGAGGGGCAAAGAATCTGTCTTCTGGTTCTGCACACCCATTCCCTTCTTCCGTGTTCAATCAGTTCTGTTACATTCTCTCCTCTGACTCTCATATTCTCTCCTGGGATCTCAAAATTTGAATAATTGTCATCATAAAGGAGGTTTGGGCAGAAGTGACTGATTTTGGCCTGAGTAAGCTGTTAGAATTAAACCGTCTTTTCCTTCTAGGTCATCTACATCCATGGGGTCAGACAGAGATACTCAGCAGACCCAAGTAACCCGCTATAGAAGCTTCCTGCTTGCCCAGAAAAGCTGCAGAGCATGTGGAACTCAGCTGCATCCATGCTCATTTAAGGCTTTGCCTTTGGAGATAATCAACTCCATGACACTATCCTTTCAAACAAAGTTGAGCCAATGAGTCTGCATTGGGTGTTTTCAGTATCTGCAAGCCCCAAGAGCAAATAGCAATTGCAGTATTTTTAGCTTTACTTTTCACGTTCAGTCATTTTTGAAATCAGCTGAAACAACTAACCTTGGAAAAGCTGATTTACCCAAGAACACTTGGTACAAGTATGGGGACCTGTAGCCAAAACAGGCTAAGTCTGTGAAGTATTAGCACAAAACCAATCTTCTCCACAAGCCATAGTAAAAATAACAGTATGTGTGTTGTTTTTTGTTTGTTTGTTTATTTGTTGTTTGTTTTTGTTTAAAAAAAAAAAAACAGCTTCCAAAACATTTCTCATGCATGGTTTCATTTCAGCCTTACAGTGAAGATGGTTTGGGCCCCTGAGAAATGTAGGCAAGCTTAACTAATTTAAAATATGGCAATGCAGTCTTCTTGAACAGCCAATCAAATGCATTACACAGCTTTCAAGGAGGTATCATAAACGAAGCTATCGTGACAGACTGTAAGAAGCATCTGCTTTTAGAACCCCAGAATTACAAAGTCCTTGTCTACAAAGATGGACTAGGATCATTTTGCTGGTGCTCCCAAGTACCCTTCTTCGTAATCAAAGATGTTGCTTAAATACAGTCGCCCTCCATATCTTGCCCTGACAAGAGGAACCAACTTCCGGTCACCCCACTCATCTCAGCCCTGACACAGTTGGGCTGATAAATAGGGGCAGCCACGTAAAACAGCTGCTGGTGGCCCTAGCCAGGGCTGGCCACGTCCAGCTACCTCTGTGTATTTGAGTATGTCAGTGGGGTGTCTGCCCCATTTTCCTTGGGTGAGAAGCTCATGTTTCTATAAATACATTTTAAAAAATGCCCAGAAAAATTCACTACTCTGTCACAGATGGCAGAAAAACATGTTCTGTGTATCTGACTATTCCCTTAAGAGCACATTTTCTTTTCACCCTAGGAATGCTATCAAACAAAATGTGGTTCAACACTGGCATCCTGTGGCCAGAGAAATTCATCAAATCTCAGAAAATCTCAGATCCTCTGGTTCTGAACATTCCTGGCTATCTGTACCGCGTGGCTTTTTTCACCATTTTCTGAAGGCTGTTCGGTCACCTCACACTGTTTGCAGAAGCACCTTAGGCAAGATGTATTTTGATCAGCTATCATCTCAGAAGGCTAACCTGTTCATGTATATTAGGGTGAAAATAAATGACAGCAGAAGGTCTAAAGAATGTTACCCAACAACAACAACAAAAATTTGATATCAAATCACAGATGCTCTCCAAGTTCACACGGAGTTTTTTTTCCTAATGAGGAGGCAGTTGGGAAAAGAGGCAAGGTAGTGGGCAAGACTCTGCTGTTTGTGTGTCTGTGTATGAGTGTTTTGTTTTGGCCAAAGGCGAGGAAAATACTTGCTATCGCAGCAATAAATATTATGAATTTTCTTTATTTTACTACAAGAATGCCGCCTAAGAGGAAAATCAAACAAAATTATGGAGGATTGTTGTTTTTGCTACTCACTTTCAAGGCAGCTATAAAGATAAAGGGTTACAAGGCTCACAGTTTAAAGGCAGAATTGCCATGCTCCCCGGTAAGACTTAATGGCATTTTTGAGATCCAAATAACCATTAGGGGACTACTGCATGGCGGCTGCTTTCACAAATGGCTACACTAAATTTGGAGTCCTTGGAGATGTTTGAAACATCATTAGAGACAGAAAAACAACAAAAAACTTCAGCATCACATGAGCGTGGAAAACCATCAAAGAGGGGTCAAGTGTGAAAAGTGGAGAGCTGGTATGCACTGACAAAGAAATGGTGCAAAATACGTGCATGTTAGCAACGGGAAAGGGCACTGAGAGTTGCCTGCCTCCCAACAGGAAGAACACAATCCCTACTATGTGGGGGAAAGCATGGAGTTGGCTCTTTCATCATGCTCCTTCTCATCATAGCCCAACTGTAGGAGTACTAGCTCTTTCTTCCTCAGTTCTCTGGCTTTTCCATGGTGCTCAGGGGTTTGAACTGTCTCTGGCCAGGATCTGAGATAGACCCAGTCCTCACAGTGATGAACGCTAATTCGTCTTAAACGTTGGTCATCAGGATGGTAGTTATTGTTCAACAAGATTCTTTTTCCTTTCAGAAAAGTTTCTATATTTGCTGCCTACCATGGAGAAAACGGAACTAAAAATATCCCACAGAAAACTGGTGTGATCTAACAAGAAATCGAGCTTAAATACCCTGCTAGACAATCAGTGTGCCCGTGTTAGCCTTGAGGAACCCAATTTTTATAGTAATACCTCTTCAGGGAATAGTGTTACCAGCTAGAAAACAAAATTCAGATATAAATAGCAGTGTAAGGTCTAAATATACCAAATACCAATTAAAAGCTAATAAAGAGTAGTATCAAAAGTCTATTTTAAATGGCTGACTTCTAAATGAGTTTCTCTAGCACGCTAGAGAGTCAATATGTAGACATATTATTGCAGGGTTTTTTTTGTTTGTTTGTTTGTTTTTGAGTTTTAATAACACTGACATTATTTGTTCACAATTTTACCAGAGATATCAGAAATCTCCCTGAACTTTTTACCAGGTTTTTAAAAATTAATTACAGTAAAAGAAGTAAATTCAAGCGGGTGAGAACAAAAGTTGTTTTCTAAACTCCCCTAACTCAGTAGCAAGAACATGGTTGTTCCTCTGGCTATATTTTTCACTTCTCTCGTGTCCTTCAGGTGCCCACTCTAGAAAGACCATGGACTTTGACGTCCAGCAGATGTGGGTTCAAATCCTGGCTCAATGGTTTAAAATCTTTAACTCAAAAATAAATTCTCTGTCTCCCTGAGTCCTGTTTCCCATCAGACATAGGACTAATAAGCACCATCTCACATATGGAGCTTGTGCAAGACAGAACAAGATGAGGTAAGGAAAAACCTCAGTCAGCAGAGCCCTGACAGATAGGTAGGCTGTCAACAGAGGCTGTCCTAAGCACCCTTTCTATCTACTCTCCCCGATATTTCCTCTCCTATATTTCCTCTCCCCGCAATTTACCTGGTCCCTGAGACCTTTTAGGTTTTCCTCTTTAATATCTTTCACTTTCTCTTGGACCCTGCCAGCACCGTCCATGATCAGAGCCTTCTCAGTCCTTATGCAGGGTTACCGTGGTAACTACCAATCCTGGGCCCTTTCAGCCTTGACCCTCTGTAATCCATCCTCACTGTACCCACAACGATTTCTATAAAATACAGCACTGCCTGAATTTGAATTCTAGCTGGTCTACCTAATATCTGCATGACTTGGAACAAGTTATACGAATTCTTCTACTGTATAACTCAGTATCTGGAAAATGGAGATAATGATTTTTCCTACTTCAGAAGGTTGTGACAAGGATTAAGTAAGGACATATATGTGCTAACACATAGAAATCACAACATAAATGTGAGGTATAATTTGTCTCTTCATTGTTCTTGCTGTTCTTACGACCCTTTAGCGATTCACCATGCCTATGAAATAGGGTTGTGTCGTAATCATGATATTTGAGCCCTTTGTAGGGCTCTGCCTAACTCCCTATCCCTCAGCAAGAGCAGGTTATGCTATAGAATCAATAAGCTGAGCTCAAACCAGAGTAAAAAATAATTAGGTTAGTAAGGGATTCGAGAAAGCAATTAGGTCATTTATAGAACTGCTGATAAAATTCTATCTAAAAAAGCTCTCTTAAGAAGTGATTAGAGCAGCTCAAACTAAATATCCTGAAAGGATTGAGTGGCTCTACCCTAAACATCCTTCCTGCTTCTTCTTCTCCTAGTTCTAATTAACATGTAATAATGTATTTAAACTAGCAGTTACCTTACTTATACTTTTAAGGTGCATGTGTGTATGTACACATAGACGGGTCTTCTAGAATATAGTCTCTCAAGAGGTCCTGAAACTGTGTAAGAGTCTTACCTGACATTCTTCTAAACCACTTGGGCTTCTTGTCCCATATGATAAAGAGATAGTATGCAGGGACCCCAGTCAGAGTAATGATGAAACCGATCCCTGTACTAAATGGATCCGAATACAGGGAAAGGGCCACCATGAAGAGACACGTGAAGGAGAACAAAGCCGGGATGAACAGTGGCACCTGGAACACAGCACAAGGGGGAAAAAAAATCACTTCAAACAGTTCCAGAGACAGAAGATGGGTTCAAGAAGAGTGCGTCGGTCAAGTCATACGATCAGACGATCCCCACTGGTCGTGTGAGCAGGTTACAGGCACCATCCCACCTTACCGTAATAGCAACAGATCTTTAACAGGGCACAGAGAATGTAGCAAACCTACTCCCTTAAATCTTTAAAAAAAAATCTTTGAAAAGAACAAACCTAGGATGATGAAGTATGTTTCATGAGAGATGTTTTCTTTGAATTGTTTCACTAGTTAAGTACCAGTGTGACTTATGTTTTTGATTTTAAAAGGTTGGCTCTTTGATAATTATGATTAGAATCTGCTTGAATGTAGAGTCAAGAGCACGGGCTGCTTGTTACGTGTTAAAGCCTTTCAGTGCATATTGATTTTCTTTGGGAGACTCACAATAAGAACTGACAGGAATAAAACAGACCAACTCCTATTCAACCGCTAATAAAGATGTTGCCAGCATTAGGCAATGGATGTAATTAGAAACAAATTCTGACAACATGACTGACAACATTATCTGTGTTATTTCTTAAAAGCAAATAGATAGTGAGGTCAAATCAATCCATGAACGTTCAAGGCTAAAGGAGATGAGAAACATATTCATCAACTCTCGCCAAAGGAAATGCTTAGTCACAGTAAAGGGTATTCTATTAAGGATATGTTGGGGCGCCTGGGTGGCGCAGTTGGTTAAGCGTCCGACTTCAGCCAGGTCACGATCTCGCGCTCTGTGAGTTCGAGCCCCGCGTCAGGCTCTGGGCTGATGGCTCGGAGCCTGGAGCCTGTTTCCGATTCTGTGTCTCCCTCTCTCTCTGCCCCTCCCCCGTTCATGCTGTGTCTCTCTCTGTCCCAAAAATAATAATAAACGTTAAAAAAAAAAAAAATTAAAAAAAAAAAAGGATATGTTGATACAACTTCACCTTCCCTCTTTATTTTACATTTTTATTCCTTCTAGAATATACCTTCTAGAATGTATAAGAAGAGCAACATAACAAGTCATAACAACTAAGAATACTTAAAGTGCCTGTTTTGTAAAGCAGCATCCTTTTTAGAGTTTCAATTAGTGACAATTCCATATGTATCTGCCTCTGTCTTTCTCAGCATGGCTATCCACAGTTACTCAGCATAAAAACACAAGTATCCCATACTTTGAACACATCAGGTCATTAGACACATTCAAGAGAAAGCAACATGACAAATGCCCTATGTATCTACCACTTTTCAGAAATGTGACATATAAAGTTAGGCACCACACATAAACAACTTGCTGAATTATTTTTCCAAGCTAAAATAAATCCGATAAGAAGGCACTGCCTGCAAGAGTTAAGCATTTTATTCCAGAGGATGCTGCCCCCCGCCCAAGTTCCTCATCATCAAGTTATGACTAAGGGAGGACTAGGTATTAGGGGAAAGATTTATGTAAACCCATCAAGATTACTGAGGTTACCTTGAAAGGACGATGCATCTCTGGGCGTTTGTATCGAAGATAAATCAGCCCAGCAACCGCCAGCCCAATAAAAAGCCACCTGGCAAAACTGAGGAAATTCAACAGACTGTAGAGGTCCCCCGAGAAGAGCATTATCATCGTCAAGGGGTGCTGGGGGAAGGGGGAGAAAAACCACACTCAGTGAGTTAAGAGAGAACACAGCTGATAACAAACAATAACATCACTACAAATTATGATGATCTTTTTCCTGATTATTTATACTGATAATCTACCACACTGATATTCTGTATTTTCTGCTCTTATACTCCATTACGCACCAGTAGCGGCATGAGAAGAACACCATTACCACTTAATCAGAGAGAATTTTATGTGGATGTTTAGTTTTTAGTCGGTTTATTTATTTATTTTTTTCATTTGAGAGAAGAGAATGTGTTTTCAAAGAGTAAAACACCGGATAGTCAATGACTTAAATTTAAAGATCTAGAGACTGAGAGGATTGGTAAAGAACTAATGCCCCAGATCAAAAGTGTACCCAATTAGAAAACGCGCAGAGGGCTCTGTAAATGGTTTCTGAGAGGCCCTTGGCTATGCACATACATGAAACACAGCCACTTCTAGGGGATTCTGCCGTCTCCCGAATGCAAAATATTGACCTTTTCTTCCTCCACACTTACTCTGCCCGTGTGCTTGCCATGTGTGACCCTCAAGACTGCAGAAAAGAATGAGGCACAGAGATCAGCTTAGCAATGTCTCTGCAGCTGCACATGCCAAGGACAGCACCACTGATAGCAGAGGCTTAAAATGAAAGCCCTCTTCACCGAATAATACATTCTGTTCCCACAAGTGACGTTAACTTCCAGATTCGGCACAGAGAGGATGCATACTTTACAAAGAAATTTCAAGGAAACATTCTGAAACAGATTAAATGCATAGAGCAAAGTGTCCAATGTATTCTACTCTGCTCCCTGACAGCAGATTCCATTTGACAAAAATGTTACAAAGTAGTAAGTAAAAGTGAATATAACATTGCCAATGGGTATTTGAGGACTTTTATACCTTGCACAGTCTTCTGTACCCGACCCTTCACAACTACTTTTCTCTGCATGATGAATTCTATAACTCACATCTCAGGTTTGGTGCTTTTATTTCTTCCCTTTAGAGGTGCACTCAAATATTTCCCTTTTTTATCACAGAATCACTCCACTGTCTAGGATTTCATCCAATTTTGCCTCTAATTTTGCGTGCATTTCATTATAAGGGGCCTATGATATGACATCTTGGTGCTGTTGGACTGTGGCTTTTAGCTCCACTTTCAGTATGTAGAAATGGGACTCATTCTACATTCTTTTCTGTGAGACTCTGTGTCAATGACAGAAGCCAAGGTAATCACTTCCCTTAGACCTCACACATTTCTACAAAGGTGCAAAAGAAGTGATGTGGTTATTGTCCCATAGCATCAAATGCGCATCAGAAATACTGAATAAGAAATACTGGGAAGCGATGAAAAATATCCTGCCTCTCACTCTCCACCAAGATATATATAGATCCGATTTAGCAATGAATAGAAAGTAAAGCACTAGCTACAGTCTGGTTTGAATTCCTCTTTGCTAACCCATTATTCAAGCTTCTATCTAGGTATACTTTTTAATATGCATTACCAAAACAATAACAGCTGGCAGAGGAGTGTGCTTGCGGACATGAATCATGGAGAGGATTTCTGGAAGGTGACCCTCTCGAGACGCAACATAGAATAACCTGATGGGAGAAAAATGTGGATGGAGTTGACTGGATAATTGATCATTTCAAAGGGAAAAATCCAGAAACCTAAGAGAACACTTGCATCTAATTTTATACCATATGGTTTGTCATTTCTTAGGAGATTACTTCAGTTTCGCTTTTCAGATAAGGCAGAGACTCAAGAGAAATCTGACTTCGAATTTCAGAAAATCTACCAACACATTACATTATGCTTTGAGGGGAAACAATAGCAACATTCGACTCAGCATAGCTCTCCCTACATGTAAATAGCTGACGGTGAATCTAGTTCTAGATTCTTAGTATTGTATGCGTGCTGTCAATCCAATCCAGCCCAATACACACACCTACACACACATACGCGTGCACGTGCACACAGACATGCACACGTATGACCTTATATTTGTATTTTTCTGATTGGATTTTAATCTTATGTTAAAATAAAGGGGACTTTTGCATCAAAGAAAACAAAAGGGATGCACGTGGTGGGGTAGTGATTTCTGGCGTCTCTGGCTTTACTTTTTCTCTTGTCACCTTTAGAGAAACAGAGATTTTATCACCAGAAATAAAATGCTGTTGTTAGACTCTGTAGACATACTATAAAAAAAAAAAAAA